AACTGCAACGAACAGCAATGGCAACTGCAACGAACAGCAATGGCAACTGCAACGAACAGCAATGGCAACTGCAACGAACAGCAATGGCAACTGCAACGAACAGCAATGGCAACTGCAACTGGCGGTAATGGGTATTTAAATATCAAGAATGAATCACTGACTTCCTCCCTCCTTTCTTCCACCCTCAACAACCTACCTGAAGTCAAGTGAGTGATCAAGTGATCACTTACACCACACTCCCTCACACAAACACTTAAACCGTGGTTTCCATCACCAGAACAGCATCATCTGCCCCCACCAGTTTCGCTATCTTCGTCTCCGTCCTGACTGATGGAGTCAACCAGCTGACACATAACCACGGTGCCTGACAGACAGACAGACGGCGACAAACGAGACTGTCGCATAAGCCGCCTGCGCTTTCTAAGGCCCGGTAACCCAGACCGCGAGGCAAATATCGACGCTTTAATTGCGTATTACGAAAACGGCGGGGCTTTGCCGGACAACGATAAGGTCCTCTATGACGGCCAGGTCGGATGCGGGTTGTTTGACGATGTCGGGCGTAAGATGAGCGTAAAGCAGCAACAGCCGCTCATCTCATCAACAAACGATGTGGAGAGATCCGAACGATCAACGGTAAGAAGCGCCTTAATCGTTTCCAACAGTGGTGGCTAACTCCTTCCTCCCTTAGGGCTCACGTGTCTTGCACCTCCAGGACCCAGACATCACCATTATCCTCCCGCTCAACCTCGGAAACACGCACTGGCTCCTCGCCTGCCTCGTTTCTCTGTACTCTTGTCTGGTGTGGAGAGGCGAAATCATTTGTATTTTGCGACGGTCCGGTGCGGTGCTGGCGGGCTGGACACGAAGAGTGGTCGGGAACCACAGGTTGTATGTTTCTGTACGGAAGAATGGCGTTATTGTGAGGACCTGGAAAGGGAGAAGAGCAAGCCGGGTACATTTGGGGGCAGACAGACACCAAGCGGGCACAATCGGAGAATATATCCTCAGGCATAGTCTCCATGACAAGATCATGTCATACCTAGCTGCAAGCTTGGCAGTGTGGAATGTCCTTTCACTTAATCTCGAGACCATTAAGTAGGTAGCAACCTCAGCTTTTCATTATTGAGGCATGTTGTGCACATCAAACCAAAGCGAGGTGGGGCGGCTCTCCATACAGCTCGTTTGCCAACGCTCAAGCTAGAGGGCGCGATTTCGCCGACACCTTTTATTTTCGATTGATCAACCGCTAGTAAATTCGCACAGCAACCGCAGGTACGCAACGATTTCAGTCAAATGCTCGGGATTTGAAGCTATCTACAAGGCCTATATGGCCGGGATTCCTGGCATTCAAGAGCTGTCAGCGAAATTGTTGCAAGTACCAGGTAGCTCTTACCTCTAAGCCCCCTTCTCCCAGTCCCCGCTCCGGTTCTCCGCCCGGACCCCATCTGGCCCGATTGTCGGCCCTCCCTCCGGCCCCTCTCCGGCAACTTGAGGAAGGCATCGATATATGTGTATAAGGCTGGTAATTTCATAAGCTGTATTGGAAGAGTATGTGCTTAACCTGAACGAGTTCAAATTAGGCATCTACTGCAGGCGTATGGCTGTATTGTAGGTATACATCCGTATAATAGGCTGGGATACAAAGCATTACCTCAGTCGAACACAATATATTGATTTTCCCTATACGTAGGTATCAGGATGCCTAACTTAGTTTAGGGAAAGGGCGCTTCGACCCGGGCCATTTGCCCCCGCGTGCTGTCGACCTATTATGGGTCAATAAAGAACCTGGCTAGACCTGTTGGGGAATCCTCCTCAGCCGCATTGCTGGGGGTCCACGCGCATTTCAGGCGCACCCCAAGCCCTGTCTGTCTCGTCGCCTCTCCTCTCTCCTGCTCTTGCTTGTTTCTGTCGACGTATCTGAGCTCCATCATGCGTTTCTGGCTATTCTCTCGTCCGTGGTGACAACCGTGCCGTTGTGTATCCTTTCCAGGCCTTTCCATTTGTCCCACAACAACTCTTGCTTCAATTGCTACACCATGGGCTCACGAGGCTAGCAATCTACTCGACGGCAAGTGCCTCTGGCCGAAACCAGACCGTCGACCTCCTCGCGTGGCGAGGCTGAGCGCCAGTTTTCCCTATTAAACCCCTCCAAAATATCTAGGTCCTAAAAATCACGATCCATCGATAAGACTTCCATAACCGCCCCCAATCCTACCTGAAATCCCCTTTTGGGGAAGCGAGCCTTCCCCCCAACCCGAACCCCAACCCCGGCCCAACAAGCCCCCCATGGCGACCCTACCGGATGGGTGGGACTTCGACTACGACGGCTCCCGGTGGTTCTACCGGTACAAGCCGTCCGGGGTGACGCAGTACACCTTCCCGCAGCCCGGCGACGAGTACCCGGAGTTCGTCGAGACGCTCGCCAGCAGATTAGCGCCCGAGGAAAAGCTCGAGAGCCAGCAGCAGGTCAAGAGGAGGAGCACGACTCTTTCGGTCCGCGGGGCCGCGCACGCGCCAAGGAGGGGGGCCGACGGCCCGGCCTCGGCGGCAGCGAGGGTGCTCGGCCCCGACCCCGACGACTGGTTCCGGCCCGAGAGCTTCATGTTTCTTGGACCCGGTAGCTATAACGACGTCAGCCCGATGCAGGAGGAGGAGGAGGAGGATATTGGACGGGGCCTCGGGGGCGGTGAGGTGGCTGGGAGGACGGAGGAGGGGAACAGGGAGGTGGAGAACAACGCGGTGGCGGGTGCTACTGACACGGATGGTCTGGCGGGGACGGGAGGCGCACAAGTCTCGCCTGTTGTCAGCGCTGAGGCCACACCCCAGGTCAGTGAGAGCCGGCCCGTTGCTGTCATGGGCGAGCCCGTCATGACCGAACCCGTCATGAGCCAGCCCGTCACAGCGCGTACTGCCGTTCCGGAACCCATGATTACCCCCTCAGCTCCCAGAGTCGATGCCTCGACTGCCTCCACGCAAATTTTCATACCAGGCGATACTGCCGCAGCCATGACCCCTGCTGCTCCGTTGATAAATAGCAGGGCCGTCCCACAGACCTTCTCCCCGGTTGGGTTCATGGCGGAGCTGGAAAGCGATGCCACACTTCTCTGCGGGGAGGAGAGGAATCCCGCCCCGGTGGAACTTGCGAGTAATGACATGATGATGATGGCTGAGCCTCTGGGTACGACGCCCCAGACGATCAATGATAGCGTCTTTCAGATGGAGCCTGCCGAGCTACCTGCCCAGACGTCACCGGTCGAATGGCGTGTGGAAACCGCCCCTGCAGAGCAGAAGGTGTTGGGGTTTTATCATGAAGGTCCAGCAGCGCAGACACATGCTCAGCAACCAGCACAATCGCAGGCCCATTATCAGCAACAGCTTCCTCAACAACACCCACACCCCGAGGCAGGACCCTCTCAGCCAGTGAATGGGTCGGGCCAGACCTTCAAAATAACCAGGAAGCCCACCGTGAATGGAGCGAGGCCTGGCCAGTATCAGGCTTTTACCCCTGGGCAGCATATCGCTAGTGGCAGTAGCAGACGGACGTCCCTTGTTTTGGGAGCCCATAGCATCACACAAACCCAGGATACAGAACTCGGGATTGCGAATAAGAGGCATTCCCTTGCCGGGCCGGTTCTTTCAACTCTTGGATCGTCCGAAATCCCAGCGGCGTTACAGCCGCCCCATATTCCGCATCCCGCGGCTGGTCTCAGCCAAACACCACACCCTCGTCCCCTAGTACCCGGCTCTGTTGCGCGGCATGACAGCATTCCCATACCGCCAGGTCAACAAATCTTGGCGGCTGGGCAAGCCCACCCATCAGGCCTGTCCCATTTCCCGTCTGTTCTGAGGCCTGCGCCAGGCCGTCCGACTGGGACGTTGGCCCAGGCCGGGGCTCCTGTGCCTCAGCAGCCTCCCGCTCCCCATTTCTACATGGCGTATAATCCATCACAAATTGCTGTTGGAAACCCTGGGCCAGCAGCACCTCAACGCCCTCAGACAGCCATGGCTCAACAGTTTTATGCAATGCCACCCTTGAGCCAGACTGCGAGTGCCTTGGGTCCGGCGACTGGATTACAGTCGAATGCTGCACCTCGGCCTGGATTGGGGAGGACTAATACCCTTCCCACGGAGCTGCCTTCGATACCGTTCATGGGCTCTCGACTAGATCAGTCTTCCAACTCACAAGCAATGCATCAAGCCCCCCTCACCCAGGCATTCCAGCCGGCCATACCTAGTGCTGAAGCGGTTATTACCTCAGGGCAAGGCATTGCTCACCAGACCACGGCGTCGACTCACACGCCGCCACCCCGAGTCGAACAGGCGCCTCCACAGCCCGGCGGGGACTTTGTTTCCGCGGGCGCCTTTTCTCCTCACTCTCAAGATACTCCAGCACCGTTGAGACTTGGGCGGAAAACTTCTCAACAGAATGCTCAATCGCCTGGTGCTGGGCTAGGTGGTGATACGAAGCCCCAAGGTCAGACACAACCCAGCGAATCTGGACAGGCGCAACCTCAAGCGGACGATGAACCCATTATGACGGCGAATTTTGCTAGTCTAACCGTGTCGAATGCAGCAACGTTGATCCAAGTGTCGTCTAAGCCCGCAGAGAGCAGCCCTGGCCCAGTGTCAGGTCAAGCCCCGGGAAGACCAACAGATGGCCAAACAAAACCGGCAGCGGTACCCCCTCCCGCTCAGGCTGGTCCGCCTCTGAACGACGCTGGAGAGGGCCCGGTGAAGCCAATAGTCCAGCCTACTTCTCCTACTCAGACCCAACCCGGGGCGACCCCGACAGCGGCACCGCCAACTCAGCAGTTTGTAGTCGCCCACGATGTCAGCTTCACCGTTCACACAGGGCCTGCTTCGTCTAGCATTGTTGGTCCCGAGGTACCGTCTGGGCAGCAGCCTACCTCCGCAGCGAGCCAGGCCTCCCAGGCCGGACCCGGCAAGGTGCACGTTTCCGAGAAACCTCCCGCCACCACTGGTCCGGCCGCTGCAACCCAGGTGGGCGACCTGCCCGTTTCAGCCCCGACTGTTGTTCCCAAGCCCCCGCCGTCTGCTCAGCCAGCCGCTGCACAGCAGAGCCAGGCTCAACCGCCGAGCATTCCCGGCCAGGGCCAGCAACAGACACACGGCGTCTCCTCTAGTTCGCCACAACGTCCGTCGTTGGCAAACGCTCCGCAAGACGGGAACTCTCAGCCACCGGTCGCTTCTGTCTCAGAAGGCCCGGTGGCTGTCGGCACCCCTCCCCCAGCGCCTCAAGGTGGCGATAGCGTGTACGCCGTTCCTCCGGCCCACCGACCTTCGGTATCGAGCGTAGCGTCTGGTGTTCAGGGACGACCAACCCCCCCAGTTCAAGGGCCGACGCGTCCTCCTAGCCAAGGAATCCAGGCTCAAAGCCCTCACATGGCGGCTCAGGGATCTCCCGCCTCCCCGGCAGCCTCGTTGCACCGTCTATCGTTATCGGCAGCAGGCTTCCGTCCAACTCAAGGGACTCCCCCTCCAGGGGGAGGTCCACGACCCTCACCACCACAAAGCGTTCACAGTCAGAGCCCGCAGCTGAGCCACGGCTCTCCTGCTCTAGCCTCCGGTGCGGTTCATCGTCCTTCGTTATCTGGTACACCACCCGGATCCCACTTCGGCGGCCGCCCAACGCCTCCACCGGGCCAAGGGCCGACGTCGGCACCGATCCACACACCACCACCACAGGCGGCTCAGTTTCATTCCGTGTCTGGGCCTCTGGGCGACATGCCGGCAACGATGGCCACGGAGCAACATTCGTCACCCGTGCAGCGGCCACCCTCTCAACAGACCCCTTCCCAGGCTCCCACCGCCCACGGCAGTCCTCACTCATTGTCTGGCAAGATTGAGTCGCCGGCTCAGGTGCAAGCCCCCTTCCAACGACCTCCCTCAGTCGCGGGAGGGGGAGGAGTCGGCATGGCATCTCACCAACGTCCCCCTCATCCGAACGGTCCTCTGCCGGTGATTCAAGGGCCAGGTGATATGGTCCCAGGACCAAGACCTGCCCAAGGATCAATACAAACTCCTCCTTTCCGGCCCGGCCTCCCGGGGCAGGGTTTGGCCAACACCCAACAATATGTGCTGCCTCATGGAGCTGTGTCGGCGCCGGGTCCGCAGCCCGGCGTTCATCGACCTCCCATCATGTTGCCCGCCACTGGTCCTGGCCAGCCAATGGGTGTTGGTGGTCCCGTCCCAATCCCTGGGTTTGGCGGGATGCAAGCGGCGGGCGGGCCAGCACCTCCCGGTCAGCCGCACACGTTTGTTCAACACCAACGACCTCCACAAAACCCGGTCTTTGCGAACCCGTGGCATCCTAACCCCCAAATCCAGGCCCCCGGCCAAGTCACAATGATGGCGGGGCGACCGCCTGGCCCAGCTCAAGGGCCTCATCCTCCCACACAGGCTCCTCCTCCATTCCGACCATCGGGAACTGCTCCGTTGATGGGACAAGGCCCGGGGGGTTCGCAATATCCTGGATTGGCACAGCTTCCCAACCAGTATCAAGGGCATCCTCATGGAGCTAATCCAGCTGGCATGATCCAAGGGCAAGTTTTTCAACCGGGGCAGCCTCAACCGATCAAAATCCAGGGGCAACCTCAGGGGATGCCTCCTGGCCATTTTGTCCATGGACAGATGCCTCCTCCTCCTCCACCAGGACAAGTTCAACCTGGGAAACCGTCTGCTCCCGGTCAAGGATTGCCATCCCAACCCCAAGCTATGCAGTTCTCGACGCCTTTCACCCAACCCAGTCCGCCGCCACTCAATTCTCAGGCTTTTGCATCGTCGCCACGACCACCACAGCCACAACTTACGGGATCTACAGGGCACCCCTTGACACCGGCTTTCGGGCATCAACCTGGGAACCCTGGTGTTCCTGCCCAACATGCCCATGCCCCTCAGCATCCCGGATCGATGTCGCCTCAAGGTCAGCTTTTGCAAGCCCAAGGCCCGGTACAGACTGGACAACTGCCTGGGAACCAACCATCGCCCGCGGCAGGGACGAGCAATGTCGGTACAGGGCCTCCGCTAATGCAGGCACAAGCCCCAAACCAGGCACATGCTCCCAACCAGGCACAAGTTCCCAACCAGGCACATGCTCCCAACCAAGCTCAAGGTCCCAACCAAGCCCCGTCAGCGCCAGAATCAGGGGCCCCCGTGGATCCGCCACCACCCCCACCACCGCCAAGTCAGGGCCAGCCGACGTTCACACCCATGACGCCGGGCCAACCGCAGGCTCCCCATCCTCCTCCTCCTCCTCCCCCTCCCCCTCCGCAACAGATGCAAACACAACCACAGCAACACGTCGCCGCCGGCCAGCCCGGTACCCAGCCCCAAAACGGTGCGCCACAGTTTAAGCCGCAGCAGCCGTTTGTTCTGCAACACCAACAAAACCAGCAGGCTCATTTCCAGTTCCAGTTTCAGCAGCCCAACGTCGTCATCGGGCAAAACGTCGGCGTGCCGCCGCAGGGTGTCCCGCCGCAGCAGGGTGTCCCGCCGCAGCAGCAGCCCATGGCGGGCTTCCAGCAGCAGCAGCAGCAGTCGCCGATCCAGCAACAGCAGTCTCCGATGCAGCAGCTACAGTCGCCCACCCAAGCAGTGTCGAGCCCGACAGGCAGCGCCGGATCCGGCGGTAAGGAGAAGACGGACTGGCTGGGCCGGGCGTCGAAGCTGTGGAAGAACGACACGTTCCGGAAGACTAGCTTCGCCATCGGCGGCGCGATCCTAGTGGACCAGATGGGCGGCAACGCCGCGTCCGGGGCCGCGATCGGGTCCAAGATCTTCGACAGCACGCGGCCGCCGCAGGGTGGACCGCGGCCGCCCGGGGTGCAGGGGGCGCAGCAGGGGGCGCAGAGGCCACCGATGCAGCAGGGGGTGCAGATGCAGCAGATGCAGCCGGTTCAGCAGGGGCAGATGGGACAGCAGAGGCCACCGATTCAACAGGGTCAGCAGGTGCAACAGATGCAACAGCCAGCTCAGCAGATGCAATCCGGGCAACAGGCGCAGGCGCAGGCACAGGCGCAAGCACAACAGCAGCCCCAAATCCAGCCCGGCCATCCGGGTCTGCAACACCCGGCCCCTCAGACGGCTCCGCCGCAGGCTCAGGGGCTCCCGAGGCCGAACGGGCAGGTTGTCAATGGCCAGGCCCAAAATCCCGCGGGCCATGCGTATCCCGGCCAGCCCGGCCAGCATCAGGTCGGGACTGGCCCTGGACCCGGACCCGGACCCGGACTCGGACAGCCTGGACAGCCTGTGCAGCATGCTCAGCCACAACAGGGGCAATGGTTGCAGCAGCAGCAGCAGCAACCTCAGCAGCAGAAACCTCAGCAGCAGCAACCTCAGCAGCAGCACCAACAACAACAACCCGCTCCGCAACAGGGACAGAAACCGCAGCAGCAGCCGCCACAACGTCCACCGCAGCCACAGCAACAGTTTCAACCGCAACAACAGGTGCAACCGCAGCAGCAGCAGCAGCAGCAGCCACAACGTCCACCGCAGTCACAACAGCAGCAACAGCCACAGCAGCAACAAGAACAGTTACTATATCAACAACAGCAACAACTCCAGCAGCAGCAGCAACAACTGCTATGTCAACAGCAACTGCAACTCCAGCAGCAGCAGCAGCAACAGCAGCAACAGCACCAGGAATATCTCAAACTGGGAGTCGACATTGTGGACAAGATATTCCAGTCGCAAAGGCCCAACAACTCAGGGGTCCCAAATCCCGGATATCAACCTCCTCCGAGCGGACCTATTCAAGCCCCGCCACAACGTCTGTTCCAACCCGAACCGCAGGAGCAGCAAGGGGATACAACCATCATTGTACAAAATCAAGATCAGTACGTGCTCCAGCTCGATCCGCAACAGCAGCAGGGCGGCGGGCTGCCGGACCAACAAGGAGGAGATACAACCACTGTCACGGTCGAAGACGGCCCCGTCCACGAGCCGACATACAACGAGACGACATGCACCGACGTCAACGTGGACGTCAACGTGGACGTAGACGTGAGCGTCAACATAGACATGGACCTCTCGTCCCAGGCGAACGCCGACGCCTCCGGTGGCATGTACGACAGCAGCACATACGTCGCCATGGACTCCACCGTGGTCACCGACTCGGCCCTCGTCACGTCCGACGGCAACGCATCGTACACGGAGACGAGTTACACGGACATGGACGTGTCCAGCTACGTGGACAACATCACCGCCGATGCGTACGCCAACAACGCGATAAACATGGCCTTGAGTAATGCGGCGGGTTATGTCGGGTCCGACGGCAACGCGGCATACACTGGAACGAGCTACGCGAACGACATTACCGCCGATGCCTACGCCAACAACGCGATAAACATGGCCTTGAGTAATGCGGCGGGTTATGTCGGGTCCGACGGCAACGCGGCATACACGGGAACGAGCTACGCGAACGACATCACCGCCGATGCCTACGCCAACAACGCGATAAACATGGCCTTGAGTAATGCGGCGGGTTATGTCGGGTCCGATGGCAACGCGGCATACACTGGAATGAGCTACACGGACGACATCACCGGCGATACCTACGTCAACAACGCGATGGACATGGCCTTGAGTAATTCGGCGGATTATGTCGGGTCCGGATATGATGGGTCTGGGTGGGGGGATGACTTCTGAGCAATATCCACCGCCGATTGCTTTCGTGTGCTGGGCGTTGTACTGCCTCTTTCCCCTTTTCTTTTCTTTTCTTTTCTTTTCTTTTTGTCCTTGTCAAATACACCTTGGATACCTGTCAGTAATATCGGCTTGCCCTGTCGCTATACCCCTTTCTGTCAGTTCGGTTTCATGGCCAAGATTGATACCACACATAGCGCGGTTGTTCAGGATGTCGGATTTAATATAATAACGGGATTGCTATCTTTGATCTGGAGACACTCTCCACTGGAACAAGACAAGCGAGAGATGTGAAGGCACGTTATTCATTTGTATGGCCCTTCTCACGGGGCTGTCTGGCTGGCTGGCTGGCTGGCTGGCTGGCTGGCTGGCTGGCTGGCTACCTTGCTACACGAGTGTCCCTCCATAACTGTCGAATCGACGGACGACAAGAGACGGTGTTGCTCCTTCCAGAGACCAAACCCCACTCTCTAGTACCTCATATCCTGATGGGCCTGCCTCGCATTCCTAACCTCGATCCGTCAGCACCAGGCACCATGGGGTTCAGGTGGCGCAAGGCGTCCGGGGGGGGGGTCAAACTCACGGGTTATACTGATCCATATCACCATACTGGTCGTCGTACAGCTTCTCGGCCTGCTTCTTGGCGTGGTGCTTGGCCTTCTCCTTGTCGAGGAAGCTGAGCCCCTTCGTCTCGGCTAGCTTGTCGACTTCGGCCCCCGCGATCCCCGCGAGCAGCTCCTTGGCCAGCGAGTGGCTGACCGTCTGGCCCGAGGAGCGTTGTTGGTTCTCCCACAGGTGCATCGCCTCGAAGGCGGCCGCGCCGCCGACCAGCTCGTGCGAGAACTTGCCCTCGCGCGGCTGGCCGTCGTAGACCTCGTCGCGGGCCTGCTTGGCTTCGCCTGGGGAGGGGTTAGCTGGGGAGAGGGGAGGAGGAGGGGGTTGGGGTGATGGATACTGTCGTGGGAAAGGGGAGACAGGGGAATGGGGAATGGGGATTTTGGTGATTGGGACGAGAGTGACGAGGAGAGTGAGGGGGAGCGTGCTGGATGTTGGGGTGGACAGAGGAGGGATTCAGAACCTACCAAAACCGAACATCTTGCTTGTTCAAGTCGTTGGAAGAATTGGAGTCTTGAAAACGGTTGGTGATCTGGCGAGCTAAATCTTTATAGCGCTAAGAAGTTGCTGTCAAAGTAGGAAATCTCAGGGCCTAGGAACACGGGGCAGTGGTTCTCTTATACGGGATTTTCTAAAAGCTCGCAAGCTTCTCCAGCAACACACAATGCATCGTGTCCCCCCTCCCCACTACTCCACAAGGTGCATTTACCCCTCCTCCATGGGAACTTGGGAGACGTAATCGCAACCTCCAACCAGCCAGTCGTCGCCAGTCCCCAAGGCGGGGTTGCAGCTATGACTTCATGGCAATCCCTACCAACTGCGCACATCCTCTAACCGAGGGTCTCATTGGAGGCCGGCGAGCTGCCAGTATACATAGATTGACAGGTATGTTTTGAAACGAACAAACAAGGGGTATTCCCGTCATCGACGTGGAACCGATGTAGAGTGGACTGATTGCGAGGAACGGAGACAAAGCATACGCTTGCAGCCCCACTCCACCACCCCATCACGATAAATTTAGCTCCATCCCTGTCGAGCTGAAGTGCCCATATAATGCGTACGCGTATGACTGAACGCGCATGCGCCTTGAACGAGCTTGTTTTGGGCCAAGGAACTGTCCAAGCACCGCCTGGTGGGGCCGGAGATGAACAGGGTCTCGAAGTGAACGATGAAATCCGTACTAGTATGGAGCTCGCGTTTGAGTCAATATCCTGCAGGTCCCGGAAAGTGCGGGCCTGGTGGTCGATCGTAGTCCGTCTCTTTGCCGTACTAGAGGGCCTTCACCGGTCTATTCCCGGTATTCCGAGTCAGAGAGGTTCTCATGACGCAGCATACCACAGAGACATGCCCCTTGCTAACAGGAACTGGACTGGCAGTCAAGATATGTATAGCAGCAGCCTTGCAGTCCCGAATTCTTGGCACCAAGACGGGTATCATGTCTTGGCAGAGCTTGTTTTGCGCTCCCGCGCTTGCCAAGACTTGGCACTGCAGCTCAGCCCATGCAGCCCTGGTCCGCCTTGAACTCGAGATGCTCTCACGCCCGCCTCGTAACTGTCCTCAGCTTCAAATAAGTGGCAGTCTACTACGGATAGGAACAACACAGTAAACCATCACTTTTCCAGACTTCGATCAGATATTCCCACGAGGTACTTTCCCCTCTACCCCACTTCGATTTGAGCTGGTTCTCCCGCCCCCCATTTGTTCTATTCCGCCGCATAGATCTGCTTGGCTACCAGGGAAGGCTTGACTTCCGACGAAAATATTTCACTCCTCCTTTCAAGGTTCTTATCGTGCCTTCTGGGTACTGATTGAGCCCTGAATCTGTCGTATGAGTTGCCCGCACATATCCTGCCAAACGCAGCCCCTTGGAGTGATAGGTTGTCACATCATTTGCGGGTCTTCGTTTCATAATACGTCCCACAGACAATGCAGTAGTAAGTGGCATATGTCTTGGATAGTGGCAGGAGTTCACCAAGTTTGACTAGTCGCACCGTGATGTCACATAGGTATTACCGACTCAGCCAGGTTGGCTGATTTGCCTCGCCACTGTTATCTCCACAGCTGCGTACGTACTGCGTGCGTATTACACTGAAGGTGCGAAGCTGGGCTGCTTCCCTTTATCAGGCCATCGTAATAGTATCTCGCGGGCAGAATTCCTGCCTGTACCCTTGGCCCCTTGCTCTTAAATACCTCATAGCTGGCCCAACTCGATTTCAATGTCTCCCCATACCTGCTTCGAGTGATCTAGTTCTGGACTGCACTGACTCTCCTCAATTGGGATGAAGCAAACTGGTGTCCACAAGGTTTTGAAGGATTGCGAACCCCCATCCTACCCGAGCATATCCAGAACCAGAGAAATGACACGCACAAAAGGGAAATTTTGTTATTGGCTGCGAAACGAACCCTTGGGGTTCTGCATTTTCTGAAGTTGGTGAAATCGACATGGAATTTAATTGATCTCAGCCTTGTTCTAATTACCCCGCTAATATTCCAGCCACTAATGTGGATAGGTTCCCGCCACAAGTACCACTAATCTCAGCCTCACCAAAATTTTGTAACCTCGCCCACCAACGATGTCAACCTACCTTCACAGCTGCCAGTGTCGCGTCCGTCTGACAGCTCGAAGACAAACAAACCATGGCGCCCAATTTGCGCCCAGGCGTCTCGCCTTTCCTCCATCCCGGCTCGGGGACGAAGGTCAATTCGCTCGCAATCATCCAGCTCTCGCGAGACAACCTCCTCCCAGTCTACCTGCAGGAACCCAAGGGCGAGCACGACGGGTACGCCGAGGGCGCCGTCGTCAACACGCGGTACGGCTCCTTCCCGCACTCGACGCTGCTCGACGTGCCTTGGGGCTCGCAGATCCGGGCCTCCAAGGTCGACACCGGGTCGCGGGGCCGCAAGCGCAAGAGGCCGGCGGCCGACGACGGCGCCGAGCAGGACGGGTCCCAGGGGAGCGGGACGCCCGGCGGCGCGAAGCAGGCCGTCGTGGCGTCCAGCGGCTTTGTGCATGTCCTCCCCCCGACGCCGGAGCTCTGGACTGCGAGCCTGCCCCACCGGACACAGGTCGTCTACGCCCCGGACTACAGCTACATCCTGCACCGGATCCGGGCACGGCCGGGGACGAGGATAATAGAGGCCGGCGCCGGAAGTGGGAGCTTTACACATGCCTCGGCGCGGGCGGTGTACAACGGATACCCGAAGAGCGACGATCACCGGAAGGGGAAGGTCTTCAGTTTCGAGTATCACGAGCAACGGTACGAGAAGATGAAGGTGGAGCTGGCAGACCACGGGATGGAAGGTCTGGTGCACCTGACACACCGCGATGTCTACAAGGGCGGCTTCCTGGTGGACGGGAAGAGCCCAGAGGCGGAAGCCGTTTTCTTGGATCTGCCCGCGCCGTGGGAGGCTCTGCACCACCTCTCGAGGCGGAATCCGTCCGCGCGAGAGGCGGGGTCACCCAAGGAGGAGCAGCAGCAGCAGCAGACCGAGAACCGCCAATGGGTATCGCCTCTGAATCCAAAGAAAAGTGCCTACATCTGCACCTTCTCCCCCTGCATCGAGCAGGTCACGCGGACGGTCTCGGCGATGCGCCGCCTCGGATGGGTGGATATTGAAATGGTGGAAATCATAAACAGGAAGATCCAGGTCTTCCGAGAGAAGATCGGACTCAACATCCCAACGGAGAAAGGGGCCAACATCGCGCCAGCCAACGTGGCGGAGGCTGTGGCTCGGCTGACGGACCTAGAGGACCGGTCCAGGGAGCATTTCAGGACGACCCAGGCATCAAGTGACCAGCCATCAACGCCGATGGATGTCGACGAGGGGGGTATGGATGGAAAGCCGGATCCGGTCCCGGCGAACGACGCCAAGGTCGTTGGAGGAGCGACTAGGCCGTCTACATCCAAGCCCTTTGCGGAAGGCCGCCTGATAACCCGGGGCGAGCCAGAGATCAAGACACACACGTCATACCTGGTCTTCGCAGTGCTGCCCCGAGAATGGACCGAGGAGGACGAAGCCGAGGCGCTGAGGAGGTTGCCCTGCGGGGCGGAGCAGAAAGTCATAGGGGGCCTCGGAAAGGAGGCCCGCAGGCTGGAGAATCGGGAGCGAATGGAGGGAAAGCGCAAGGGAGGCAAGAGGAAGGCGGTCGGTGCCGAGGAGGCCTCCGAGGAGCCCGTGGTCGCCACCAAACATTGATAGGGGTGTTGCGGTACCTCGTTTGCACACATGGCCGTGGTCGGGTTGTCATGAGAGGTGGACCCCTCGACGTCTTGCATAGTCCTTTGGTTCGGGACCAAGCAATAGGGGCGCCCAATGCTGCTCATAAAGAGCCATTTCAAAAGTTACCATCAACCGACTCTTTCCAGGTGATTCAATATATGAGCGAGTATCTGCCACGTCCCACTGCGTACATACAACCACACTCACTAGAGAACTCGGGGTCGCCGCCAGGTAGTGCAATCTTGCAAAAGAGTTGCGTGTAGAGAAAGTGTTACGAAAAGATTGACTGGTCTCTAGATCAATCTCGGCGACGAAGTTGAATCGCAGAGTCACAGCTGCTGATCGACAAGATTACACCAGGTGGGCTCAAAGGTGCTAGCCATTAGGCTTTTGGTCTACCTTGGTAGGTAGGTTAGGTAGGTAGACCGGAAGACGAGTGTTATCGAGAACTCCACCAACGAGTACTTAACATGGAAGGGGATAGGCGATGATGACTAGTACCACCAACGAGAACCCCCACCATTTTCCTTCCCGTCCATTTCCTTCCACTCTGTGCGCTTCACTCAGCCTCTGGCGATACTAGTCGAGACTGCCTGATAAGGTATGAGGGCTAGCAACATCTCTGGGTAGGAGAAAGGGGTGAACAAGCTTGGAACTGACCTCGCTAACCGTTTGGGCTGGGGTAGGTCCGCGCCAGGCCTTGAGAAGCTCGGCAATGCCAGGTAGGATGAGGATCAGGCCAACCAGTATAACTGTGAGAACAGAAAGCAATATAGGGCCATTGGAGGAGCCATTGGAGAAGGAGAGGCCAGCGAAATTCTCTCGACACCACGTGATAGGTACTGTAGGTCAACCGTTGGAGACGCAGTTTTAAAGACAATATAGCAAGCGATTAAGATTTGGCACAGTACTCAGACGAAGATGGTTGGGACCTTTACTTGAAGTATAGTCATGGTACGACGATTTATTCATGCAGCGTCCTTAACAAATACCCCTCGAGCAAAACCTTCCGTTCTATCCAGACACGGCCCCCTTGCCAAAGCGTCGTTCGGAAGGGAAACACAAGAATTTGTACAGACGGCCCAACACTGGTACACGTTGTCCTCGTGCTGCTCCATCGCTCCTTCAACTATGGTACACACAATACCACAAGACTCGATCCCAAAAAGTGCTAGTGACAATTATAGGACAAACCCGCCCACCTAAAACCCCCACCACACCCACCTATCTCTGCCTCGCCTCCGTGATGCAAGTCGGCCAAGCCCGATGAGCCGAGATAAAACCAGAAAATCCGGCAAAGAGGGAGACGGAGAATCAATCCCTCAGCGACGTAAAGGTACCAAACATAAGACCGCAATGGCATAACATGGGGCATCGCAACTGACCCCCATCCCTTGGAATCCCCCCATGGTCCTACATGATAGAACACTTGCCGCCGTCGGCCGGGGCGTTGGGGTTCTGCGACTTCTCAATCTCCTCGATGAGCAGCTCAAAGGCCTTGGCGACGTGGACATCATACCGGGCGCTGGCCTCGGTCCAGGCGCAGCCAAACTTATCGGCCAGCTTCTTGCCATCCTCGGTGCTGACCTGGCGCTGTTCGGGCCGCAGGTCGCTCTTGTTGCCGACGATGCAGATGGGGACTTTCTCGCTGCCCTAGGAAGGGAAGAAACGTATCAGCAGGGCTTGGTTCCTTGAGGTGGAGGGGGTTGGGGGATGCTCACCAGATGATTTAGGATCTTCTCTCGAATGACCTGGATCATCTCGAAGGACTGCATCGAGGAGACAGAGTAGACGAGCATGTACCCGTGGATGCCGATGAAGTGCTTCGAATTCAGGATGCTGTACTCATCCTGGCCGGCAGTATCGACGATCTCGAGGGCGTAGTCCTGGTTTCTAACCTTGACCTCCTTGCTGAAGGTGCTCTCGATGGTGGGATAGTAGCTCTCGACAAAGTGGTTATCCACATATCGAACCGCGAGCGAGGATTTGCCTGGGAGAAACAGCAAGTATCAGTTACAAAACCCGGTGTGCAGAATCTTTTTGGTCGGGTGAGTTCACAGCTTCCACGCCGAAGAAGACGAACCGACAGAGCGACTGCCAACAATGGCCAGCTTTCTTAACTTGGGTGGTGGTGCCATTTGCGTCTGTCGCGGATTGTCTGACTAGGAGCTGGGTAGGATTCGAAGTTGTTATTACTGCGGTAGAGACAGGAGCCGTGCCCGGGTCAATGGACAAGACAGTGCAGCGCCGAATGTAATCAACTTGATGCAGAGATCTGGAGTGACGTTGTAGCTTGCATTCCCAGACCCCAAAAGAATGGTGGGGTTCCATGTCTAGACCCATCCCGCCGAGGCGTCAGTGGTGGGGCATGCCAAGGCTGCATTCCAGATGTTCTTCTTGCGGCTCTAAAGCCATTGGCTGCTTCTGATGTACTAAGTTAGGTAATCCGATGAGGTAGTAGCCAATGACACTCACAGGGAAGTACCTACTTGGAAGTACTGCGTATAGTGGGGCACCTTGTGGCAACTCGGTACCCACCTAACTTAAAAAGGGAGACGCATGTGAGACAGACGCCTGCAGGTCTACTTTGTAGAGCCGAAGCCTCTGTGGTAGAGCTCGGTGGTGAGAAGATATGCTTCCGTTGATTGCCCTGAGGATGGTTTGTTGAACCTACCAAGTCTCCCTCTCCTTGTTAAAGGAGGACAATATCGTAGCAAATACCTACACAAACCCTCATTATCCATAGTGGTATATCCTTCCCAAGCCATTGCCATGGCAGGATGCGTCCCGGTCTCTATTATCATCAGGTATTCCGGAATAATCCCACGTAAGTTAAGGGAAAAAAAATTCCACCAAAGGGCACCCCTTGCCTTAGACCCCTCCTGGTGTAGGCCTGCCATTCCACCTAGTTTAACTCCACAAGAAGATGCCGTGCGTGATTCGGAATATCGTGATATCTTTGCCCCATCATCACGTCTTTGTTTGTACGCCCCTTAGGATCCAGACTCTAGTCGATCAACAAGCACCTGTAGTCGGTCTGCCGCATTGGCCTGAGGGTTGGAGCCGGCATCTCCTTCCATGCCATAGGCGGCAACTTTGTGAAATAGGATAAACTCTCTGAGAGAGTCGAGCAACGGTTCGAGGCTGCCTTTCGAGTGGATTGAGACAAACCTGTCCCGGATCGGGGGGTACAGGCAGAGATACCCCAGGAGGGTCGAGAGATAGCCGAAAGCAACATTTAGCTGCGTCTTCTCCATAGAATCGGCCTGCTTGAAGTAAGTATTGTTGACCCCACACATCGTTCACCATAGATGGCTTACATCAGAAGTGGTCGAGTGATAGTCGAGGAACACTCGAATGAGCCGATTCAGGGGAGAGGAAGTGTCATCTTCCATCTCATAGAGACTCTGTGCTGCTGGGGTATAGTGTTCGCAGAAGTTGATCTTCACTCCGAGCATGAAGATTAGAGACTCCAGGACTTTTGACATGAAGGAATCGTCCGTGATGGATTTCAAGACAACATCAAACGTTTTGCAGGCAGCCTCAGCCAAATCTCGAAGAATCCCCCTCTTGACAAACATCCCAGGGGCCTCCGTATTGTTGTTAGTCGTATTAAGAGTGAGTCTCAAGGCCAAGCTTTCCAGGTCGTCCATCTTGTCCGCTGGGCGCCGGAGGGCCGTCTCAAGCACGTCACCCACAATGGGCAAGTATCGGCTTGTCCACCTGGACCACAGTTGAGACTGCATGGCGCTGACTGAATGCGTCTCAAGAAGGTACAATGCAAGATAGAAATCGACAGATTCCGGCCGAGACGGGAGTTCCCAGCATGCGGGATTCGCGAAATCAGATAAAATGGAGAATAGACAGTCGGTTACATCAGGAGAGAAGACGGCCGCCTCGCTCTCTAGGTCTGTGGACTGCCGCAGGATTAGATCCATAGCTTTCAAAGCCAAGGTCCTCGGCGAGAGTGTGGTTGGGGACATCGGCTCCCATATGGGAAGCTGAAGGATGGTAGCTTTTATGGCGGATAATGTCGACTGCCCATTTTTCGAGACATTGCGCTTTCTCTCCTTTGCGATAGCGGAAATGTCCGAGGTCAACGCCAAAAACAGCGATAGGAGCTGGGCTATTCCCTGGGTCTGGAGTTTCTGAATGACATGTGGCGAAGTGGACGTGGATAAGAGCGTCGTGACTATAGAGAGAATAGCGAATCCAGCGATAATATCGGTCTCCTGGCCCAGCTTCGTGAAAAGGGCTCCATCGCGACTGTGGTTGCGGAACTGGCGGCGGAAACTCTTGTCCTTCATCTTCTCGGCTAATTCGAGCAGAGCGCCTCTCCTCAGGGATGATGGTTTCGGGGTTGGGGAGCCAATGCGATCGAGAATGTCGTCCATCTCGTCCGAGAAACGGCTGTTCGCGCCAGCTTGTCTCAGCTCATGGAGACTCCGGACCGCTCCAGAATTAGCCGTGTCATCTTCCTCGTCAATAAAGGAGAGAGAGCTTAAGGTAGAGGTTTTGATCATGGCTCCGAGCCCCGGGAAGGGCGCTTTCTCTGGCTGATCCTCAATGCTGCTCAGGCTAGCCGGGTCGAACAGCGGTTCTTCCGCAAGCATGGTCCTTTGCTGGCTATATGTGAATTTAGGACCCGGCTTCTTGGGCATAGCGAGCTGCCGAGTGAGAGTCCTCGGTTTGGGCTGATCTGGCAAGGACGGGCCGGGACTTGAGGGAAGTATTGGGGCAGGTGGGCTAGAAACGGAGGTCATCTCCACGTCTTGCGATGACGGCTCCTCCTCAAAGTTCTCCTCGACCTGAGCAACCAAAGCATCTATCAGCCGCTTCTTCCGTCGGGTTGGTACTGCTGGCTCTGCCTGCTTCGATGTGCCGGCTTTCGATGTAGGGCCTGTTTCTGCTAGACCTGTCTTTGCCAGACCCATCTTTGCTGGACGTGCTGGCTGAGCTTGACCATCCTTAGTAAGCCGGAATGGTATGGGCTGTTGGGCGTGTTGGGTATAATCGCTGCCAACGACATTCCGGTCAACCAATGCTTCGGGCGACTGGGACAATGGAGCCTGCGCTGCATCCTTTGGTAAGGTGTTGTTACCCTGGGCTGCACGGCTGCCAGCCTTGAGTCGACCAAGGTGCCTTGAGGCGCCTAAGCCTGTGTCCTTCTCTTGCGGTTGTACTAATGATGGGGAGCTTCGTGGGGAGCTGGGTGGCGAGTAGGCGGAGGAGTCCAGCTTGCGTGTTGTGGACGATGATGTTCCGCCCAACTTCCTCTTTTTTGCTCGAGTCGTGTCCTCATCCTTCTGTGGAACATCCCACGAAGAGGCGGCCGGGATGTTCCGACACTCCCGTCCAGGTTCTGGGTGGACCTTAAAGCCATATACGTGGTCGAGGTGTTCTGATTTCTTGGACGGCTTGGGATGCGCTGGGACTGCGGCGGCGGAGCTCTGAGCCGAAGGGTTCTGAAGGCTGTTCGCAGAGGAAGAGGATTTGTCGTTTCTGAATGTCTCGAAGCCGCTTGATTGAGTGTTCCTTCTTGAACCTTTCCCGTATGTGGTTACTCTCTTCTTCGGCTGCAGGCCGAATTCGGTTCTTGTAGCCATGAGGAAGGGGCGAATGAGCGTGTGTCTGGGATCTGGGAGGCAGATAAATTGGCAGCGAGGGAGTCACTATGTAAGGGGTGTACAAGGTGGCAACCTGATAGTATTTCAAATTCGATGGCGATGATGATGGCGCTGCCACGGATAGAGGCCGTCGAGAATCACGCTGGTGGTGGATACGTCTCTGTATGGCCAAGGGAGGAGATGGAAGAGTCGCGATAAGTGCCAATGTCAGAATATGGGGTGGAAAGAGGGAAGGACATGGAAAAGGCAGGCCTAAGCCATGACAGAGGTTCTAAGAATCCGTTGCAGCCGGTTGCGTTGCGATTCAAGTGTCGACTTCTATGACATCCATCCCGGACCTATTGTTTATACAGATATACCCCACATATTCAAATACCACATAGGAGGCACCGTACAGTACCTAAGTACTTGTACCTAAGCACCTACCACCTGAGAATATGGAATAACATGCCAAAATTCCATTGGCGCGAACAACAAAAAGAAGAAGCTGCCTTTGTTTATTGTTGGAAGCACCGAATTCCTAACAATCTGGATGCAGGTTAGGCATCGAGGTCTAGGTTGAGTTATTAGCGAAAGCGACCCTCCATTCCATTTTCAAAGCCTAACCATGCTGCCATGTAACTATGAATGAGAGTCACTTACAGTGGTTGTACAGTATCTCATACTGAAACTGACAATAATCTGATAGGTAATTTTGTAGACCAATATTGGCCCATAGAGAGACTAACCGTTAATGTTACAAAACTGGAGGTATTTATTGATGAGCCCGACTCAGGACAATGAGGGGTATGATATATGACGTCCCTTCATCCAAGGCACCAAGCAAGAAGAAGTCCTTACCGAGTCGATTTAGCTTCCCCATCGTCCTTTCAAGCCACACATGCAAAAAGGTTTGCCGTGGTCCAGACTATCAGCCACAGACTATATACCTCGTCCTTTTATCAACAGATGAACCCCAACCTACCAAACTTACTTACCTCACTCGAGGTTTCATTATACGGGACATATACGAACCTGTACTGTGGCCCTGTGTCTGCCAACAACGACAACTTTACCATATGTGGAAGTCCCATTTGAAACCTCTTCCAAAGTTCTCATAACATCATGTCAACAAAGCTCGAGAAGTCCGACTCCCCAGTGGCTCCCACGCGATGCGTAGGCCCCGACTACCGCTCCGAGCGTCAGAAACCAATGGCCACAGTCTCTACCAGAATCGAATCTGACAATGTCACCATCCTTCCTCAGACCCCGCAGCTCATCGCATTGCTCACGTAAGTCTTGGCCTTGTATCCTTTGTGACCGTGCTGCTATCCGGCATCCAAATGTTGTGGCCGTTCCTCTAGCTCCCAAGCACAACACACACACGCAACAAGTCTGGGATGGCTGATGGTTTGATCCGCCCAGAATCATTCGTGATAAGAACACGGATCGCGGTGACTTCATTTTCTACTCCAACAGGATCATCAGGCTGCTGGTCGAGGAAGGCCTGAACCACCTCCCGACAGTAGAGCACACGGTGACCACGCCCGTGGGCCGGCCCTATGCCGGGCTTATCTTCCAGGGCAAGATCTGTGGCGTCTCCATCATGCGGGCCGGCGAGGCCATGGAGCAGGGGTTGCGGGACTGCTGCCGCTCTGTCAGGATCGGGAAGATCCTGATCCAGAGGGACGAGGAGACGGCACTGCCCAAGCTCTTTTACGACAAGCTCCCCGAGGACATCGCCGAGAGATGGGTCCTCCTGCTGGACCCCATGTTCGCAACGGGTATGCCTCGCCCTTGTCGTGTTGCTGCGCTTTCCGGGCGAGCGGCGAAGCTAACACGATTCACACCCTGATAAGGCGGTTCTGCCATCATGGCTGTAGATGTCTTGAAGTCGCGAGGCGTCCCGGAAGAGAGGATCTTGTTTCTCAATCTCATTGCGAGCCCCGAAGGGATCAACAAGTTCATCACCACGTTTCCCAAGCTACGAGTCGTGACCGCCTTTGTAGACAAGGTTGGTCGACCCTTGCAGATACTCGCTGCGCAAGGAAAGTCTATAGCTGACATGCAACGCAGGGACTTGACGATAAGAAGTTTGTGAGGTCCAATTCCTCACTACGTAGCCATACTAAGAAGGGTCTAGTTACATCGTCCCCGGGCTCGGCGACTTCGGCGATCGATTCTACACGATGTAGGAGACTGCCGCACTTTCGGATCTGTTCCTTTGGGCAAATGTCGGTTGGTACCCAGTCGCGCGTGGTGGGGCATAGTTATTATACCCAGCATTTCAACTGTGATTTTCTTCTGGAGGCGAATACTCAATGTTTGGTGATTCGTCGACTGTCGCCTCGTGATATGCCCTTAGACCTAGAAGAAAGGCGACGAAGTCCTTGTTGTTGGAACGGCGCGCTCTCTCTCAGTCGTAACCCTCGTCATCGGCTACGATTCCTTCTCCCCCATACCTCCTGTCCTCCTCCTCATCTATTTGCCTGCTCGCCAGTATGCGCCGACCCGTAGGAACCTGGCTGCTTCCAGCAAAGGCTGCTCGCCGTTCCTCGGGAGACTGTGCGACGGCATCTAAGCGCAGTGTATTAGTATATGCGCAACGCCGTGGTTGTACCCAGGTTGGTGGCTATGGCACTTACCAGCTGCGTCGACCCATTCGCTATACACGTCGACGGCGGCGGAGAGGTCTGGGGGGCGTTGTTAGCGCTGGATTCATCGTCGCGGACGATTGGGGATTATACAATTGATGCCGCACTGGAACTTCTGCCCGCAGACTTTGCAGTTGAGCGTTCCAACGCCGGCCTTCTTGTCTAGCTTGACGGCAACGGACTTCTCGTGGTTGCAGAATAGACAGGTAAACACGGTGGGGAGCGGGTCGTTCTAGGGGAAAACAGGAGTTAGGACATCCGGCGACCATAAAGATTGTGCATATTTAGCGATACCTTTTTGGGACCCTGGGGCTTCCGCGTGCTCTTCTTGCGCTTGCCCATGTTGGCTTCTGTCGGTTGCGACGCCGGAGACGGAGCCTTGTTCTCGGCGTTTTTTGGTTTGGTCGGGATAGATGGTCAATAAATGATAGGTCTAGCTAGTCATGTGGATAGCAGGGCCTCCGTAATGTTTGCCTGGTAGATGATTTCGAGCCTTTCGCCATCGGATGCTGCGACTGCGATTGCTGAAGCCCCAAGATTCCGGATGGTTTTAGACAGAAACTCCGACCCATGCTGCAGCACCGCACATGCCTGTTTTGCGGGTTTGTGGTTTGTGGTGAGTCTGCAGCCCCGCCTCAAGGGACCAACCAGATGTCTGCTGCGGGGTTCGACTCTTTGGCCTCACAACTTAGGTTCACCTTCGATGGCATGTACTTTGTCTAATGGAAAATGACGGCATTGAACACTCACAAGCCAGAGACAATGGATAATTGAAAGGAATGTAACTTGGAAGTCAGAGTCACCCATTTACCTACCACACACAATTCAACTTGTGGTAGCCCAATAATAGTTGTGTGCCTGGGCGCCCGATGAGATAACTAGTACGTACCTTGCATATGTACTCTGGTCGTGTACTTCCGTACATTACAGCCCGATAACAACCATCACCCGACCGCTCTCTGAAGCTTGTTTGTGGCGTCCCCGGGAACCGCCAAGAGGCCTGAATCCAGGTACCTGTCAGGTGGCTAGCTGCTTCCCAGGGAGTAGATCCCAGTCCTGTCACGAGTTCTCTCACAAAGCCCCCTGGTCGATGCCCTCTTCCCAGTTCACCGATACTTTCAGTTTCCAGTCTGTTGAAATCATATTCGTGAGCTTGCATCCCAACGTAATCCCATTACCTGCCCAACATCATTCTCCGTGTGAGACTTGTCTAGCTGGCTTACACCACCGCTACTCTACCCCTCGTAGTGTCTACATCCATACCAGTCACCTCTTCTCTCACCGTTTGAAGACACCTGCCCTGAGTATCCCTTGAACAAGACCCCATCACAACGGCATTAGATCTGGATAGTACCAAGGTCAATCTGCAGGGTATCACACAGAGCCAGAGCTAGCTTGTGTCGACCGTCGAGTCAATGTCGACCCATATTGATGGGATGGAGAAGTTGGGGTTGGCGGCGAGGGCCAAGGGGTCCAGTGCGGCAGAAATCGAACAAGTAGCTGTATCCTCCGCTGCTGTTTTATCATCCGGTTCGGCACCCCCGGCTCAAACCCCGCCCATCTTGCCCGCCGATGCCGGGACTCAGTCCCCGGCGCCCTCCGCAGCCTCGGACTCCAAGTCCGGATTTACCTCCCGTATCATCCTCACCACCTATCCGAACCAGATTGGGATCAACCCACTGCCCATGGAATGGGGTGCCGCGGACCCTTTGCAGAGAGGCCCCGTGACTGTGTCCAGGGCTCCGTCCACGATCCGGAGGCGAAATGCGATCGGAGCTCATGGGGGGTCTTACTCGATTTACTACGCCTTGGCCTTGGCCAGTAAGGAATTGGATCCAGACCACAAGCCGGATTTCACAAACACGGAGCCGGCCGCCGATATTGGCCCTTTTCCGCAGTGGGCGGACAAGAAGAAGATTGTCTCGATGGACCCGTTGGGACATCTCGTACCGTGGACCTTCAAGGATATCATACAGAAGGAGAATGGTAAGTTTATCAACCTGCTCCTCTCTCAAGGCTGGCTAACACGTGCCTAGTTGATCTCCGCCCAACAATTGCGATTACAAAGGCGCATATGAAGTTACCCGAGCTCGAAGAGAGCGTCCGCAGTGGACGACTTGTCCCCGACGGAAAGGTCTGCTTGAACTCGTCCGGGGAGCTCAACGTGACCAAGGTTGCCGTGGAGCCAGTCTGGTATCTACCGGGAGTCGCAGAGCGGTTCGGCATTGACGAAGGCACCCTTCGAAGGTCCCTTTTCGAGCATACTGGCGGCATGTATCCTGAAGTAAGTTTCCATCGTTGACACGCCTAGCTGATATAGCATGATGTGGGTGGACCCACGGCTAATGTATCCGACAGTTGATTACTCGTAGCGACATCAAGGTATTCCTGCCGCCGATTGGTAAGACCCAACCCCGACAGGTGTACCCCTTTGTTCACGAACTGACTTTGCAAGGCGGCTTAACTGTCTATTGCTTTGGCGACCCAGCCAAGATGTCTGCTCCTGAGTCGAAGCTGGCATTGCGGATCCATGATGAGGTAAACCGGGTTCTAATTGGAAGCGTTGCCCCTGAAGAAAACCAGCTGACCTGGTTCCTAGTGTAATGGAAGTGATGTCTTCGGCTCCGATATCTGCACGTGCAGGCCGTACTTGATATTTGGTATCGAGGAGGCTGTCAAGGAGGCCCAGAACGGTGGCAGCGGCGTTGTTATCTACTTCCGCAAGGAGGGTAGAGCTTTGGGTGAAGTTACCAAGGTACGGTGACGAGTTCGACCACTAAGAGGGCTCGTGCTAACGTGATGCAGTATCGTACGTACAGCTTTCCGCAACCCGGGTTTTGCCACCATGGGTTCATCTAACAATGGTACAGTCGTCTACAATGCGCGGAAGCGAGGGGAAGATAGGGCGTCGGATTACTTCAAGCGGACCGAGAACATCGCCGGTGTCAAGGACATGCGATTCCAGGCTTTGATGCCGGATATCCTCCACTGGCTTGGCATTACCAAGATTGATCGGATGCTCAGTATGAGCAAGTGAGTCTTAAAGGTGTCCCGGTGTCCTCATGACCTCGATCTAACGGGGCTGCCCTCTAGCATGAAACACGATGCCATCGTAGGCCAGGGGTATGTCCTTGTCGCTGGGCTGTCTAGCAGAAGATGAACCGAATGGCTGATCTCGGAATAGTATCCCCATTCTCGAACGAGTCGAGTTGCCGGAATCCTGGATCCCCGCCGATTCGCGAGTCGAGATCGATGCGAAGATTACGGCTGGTAGGACACACGCTCCGGACGTGCACGCATGAGGAGAGACTGGCTAACCATGGGTACTTTCCAAGGTTATTTCACGGCGGGCCACCGAATGACTGCTGAAGAACTCGAGGCCGTCCAGGGCCGGACATGGGAGGAGTAAGCAACCCAGGCAACGAGCGAATGAAGAAGCCGCAAGCTGACGTGACAACTAGCATCGACCACTGATCGGAAGCTTTCTTGGGAGGTGCATGCTCAGCATCCTCCTGATGCAAGCCATGCGTCTCCTCTCGACCCTCCAGTTCCACGGGGATAAGCTGGGCGGCCTTCTGGTATCATGCTGGGCTCGTTGGCACCTATAAGACGGCGAAACAAAGCTGGGCAGTGGACAGAACTTGTTTATCGCGCTGCATTTGCCAATTGCTGGTTGGGGGTTGTACGCGCGGGAGTCCAATCACGTTATCCAGTCCCTTATTAACCCGTCCAACTACTGTGTAGAAATACATTGCAAGTTGCCTGCTAGAGTCTCCTTCGCACGTATACTTGCGGGCTGGTCCGGGTGTTGATGCACCCCCTGCCTCTGAGTGTATACTCTGACATCATGATCCAATTCCGAGGGGGTTCCTGGTCCGACCGTAGGATATGGGGAAAACCCCCGCAAAGATAACTCCCACTTTCAAGCATGCCGTGGCTCCGCGGGATGATAACTAACGTGACTTGTTTTGGCCTCCGTCCAAAATGCCGCAGGACGTGTCTGGTTGGAAATGGTGGATTGATTGGTGAAATTGAGGAATCCATTCAATGAAGAGATCAGCCCACAAAGCATATGTGAGGTATGGCAAGAGGCAGAATCCCAGAATGCAACAAATCGACTGAGAATGAGGCAAGGTCCGAAACCCGACGCCCCGAGGCACAGAAGAGTCCTCAACCACAACCTTGACATCCATCTATCTGACCGACCTGGTCACGGTGTTGGTCAGCCGTGGTCCGTCCGTCGGTCTAGGCAATAGGCATCTTCTTGGCGTGAGAACTGGGAATGCCGAATACCCTTTCGTTCTCGACCCCATCATGGGGTTCCATTGTGCGACTAGAACATGCACAAGCGTGCAGGCTGCAGGCTCGAGATCCTGAAGTGTCAGTGTTTTGAGTGGCTGCCAACAACGGGGCCGTCGGACAGTCAGACAGTCGGGCTACCACCATCACCCACCCCCCTTCTCCACTTCAAGACAAACCCAGGGCCACCGACGATATCCAGAGTCTCCAGACGAGGCATTGGGGTGATGTGGGACAAATTGGACCGGTCTGCATGTCAGGCCTATCCTAGAGTGAGCCTTCTGGCCAACGGTTCCAGGCTAGAAAGGGGAGGGTGTGAGCGGGGGAGGAGGGTGTGGTCGGAAGCTAAGTCAGGAGTGGGCGGGTCCTTTTTTTTTCCTGGAGGTGGTGCTGGCTAGCACAGCCAGGGGTCTGGATCCAAAAATCTCAACAGGATTGGAGATCCGCCCCACTCTTTTTGATTTGACCTGGACCTGCACTGCGGCCAGGCACCATACATTGGATGGATGGTGGACGGGTTCCAGGGCGGGAAGACATGGGGGGGCCACACGCTGTTCTGTCCCAAACCATCGGCTGACAAGTGGCAATCGACGCCGGAGATGGGGCCGCAAGCGACTTTGCGTGGCGTAATGGTGGGATCGCCATTTCAGCCCAAAGAAGCTGTCGACACTAAGAACTTCTTTATACGGAAAGATTCCTCGTGGTGTCGGTGTGGAGCCACTCTTATTTCTTTACTTATACGTACCTCACTTCTGTCATTTTAACGACTGGTGCTCTGCTGTCTCATCTACAACCTATCCAACCTATCCAACCATAAAACTCCCAAGAGTTTGATACCTACCACTCAGCTGTCTACCCCCAGGCAACCTCAAACAACATGGGTCCAGCCTCCTCAGATTCCCGCCGGATGCAAAGGAGAGATTCCTCGCCGAGGAGCTCGAGCAAGCGACGGCCCAAGCTGCTGAGAGCAGTCGCGACCGAACCATCCATCACCCCCTCCAACGCCAGCCGCAACGCCCTCGCCAGTTCGCACTCGTGCGGACGTGCAACAGACCTATTGAACCGGGTGGCCTACATCTCCGGCTCCCCTCCGGACTCGGTCACCCGCTCCGCGTCCCCATTGTCAGCCCGGTCGCCCATGTACGACCGCCAGGGAGACCTGTCGTCGTCCCCCAGCAGCCACAGCGAGGGCTTCGAAAATGATCACCCGCATCACCGTTGGTCCACCTAGATAATCGATTTTGTTGCACACCCTCCGGACCCATGACTAACACATTCTCAGACTCGACACGGTATTTCAGCTTCCCCAGGTTCGACCTATACGAGGGCAGCCCGCAAGAGGAAGAGGACAAGGAGGCCGAGATGAAATCACCTTGAACTTGATCCCAAGTCTCTCTTCTTCATGAACCGAGTCGTACGAACGAAAAGGGGGAGTTCCGGCGCCGAGACACCACGCCAGGTTCGATCGAGCCCGACTAATGAGATGGTGGCATGACACCTGTCCAGTCGGGCGCGCCACCATGGGCCAAACCCCTGCCTTGGTTTGCAGGTACTGGTGCAAGGTGTGCAAGGTGCAGCAACATGTTTGGGCGGCGTACTATGGGTCTGGAGTTCTTCAACCACGTCATGGACAGCAGACACTCGGGTTGTTTCCCCGAAAGGTTGCCCTCAGCAATATCCAGGGCGGGGACCCGAGTTGCGCACGAGGCAAGGCACGGCACAGGCAGGGAACATTGCCCAGGTGTGGTGGGGTGTGAAGTGGGTCTTATCGAACAAAATCGAGTTGCGATTGCCCAGCATGCTGGGCTTGGGAATTGGAGGACAGTCGAAGGTTAAAGCCTTGCAGCATGCTATAGAAGATTAGCATGGCCCCTGTACTAAGGATGACACGCTCAATCAAAGAGAAGCTAAACATTTTTTCGGGGCCTTTTTTCTCCTTTTCCTCAAGGTTTGGCGAGAGTTTTGTTGGTATTTGAACAAGCTTGTCTCTGCGGGGCGAGCTTATTGTATTTTGTCAGGCCAATGCTACGTAGGTAGGTAATTTAGGGGGAGATCTGCCCTTCTAAGAATCTACCTAGACAATACAAGCAGTAACTTACACCATCTAATGATCCCATGTGCATACACTAGAGCTGTGCTGGACACGCAGTTGAGTTGGGCACCAAAAGCTGGCGATATAGGGGTATGCACGTCTTGCGTGGCACTCTAGCACATGACCTCCTTGAGATTGGGGACTTGCTTGTGCACTACAAGGAACGCCCCACAGTCATGCGCCCCAATTTCGATCGATGCCTTGATGGGTTGACTGGAAAGAGGAGGCCAAGAAAAGTTAACTCCATATCGAACTTCGTCGTTGTCAACGAATCCGTTGTGGCCACAGCTCGTAGAAACTGGGGTGAGTTGTGGCGGCCCTCCGTGTGCACCACAGGATTTGCTCCATCATGTTCTAAGGCTGGAGCATACTGGTAGGATCTAGGGTCCCGTCGGCCCCTGGTAGAGGCTGCATTTCGGATTGTTCTCCAAGGAGCCAACATGCATAGTTCACAATCCGAGTATCGAGAGTCGTCGTGGTCGCCATCCTCCCACTGCAGCTGCTCTCACAATCGTACGGCCTGCTCCAGAAGCTGCTTCTCCTTGGCCGAAGTCTCCCGGCATTGGGCCAGGCTCACAAACGACGCCGGTGAAGCACCACCCAGTAATTCTGACCTTGGCCAGACTATCAATGAAAGACCGCCGAGGAAGATCGGCGAGAACAATCCTTACCAGTGGCCTGACCGCCTAAGCACTTTCCATATCATTAAGACGTGACGTGTCTCTCTAGGGAGAAATCAAGTACAGTGGTAGCTTTGGTTGACCATCTAGGAAGCATGCCATCCTGGTAGGCAAGGTTGGTTGTAATCTTCAAGACTTCAGAGTTCTGGCCCTCGGTACGGCTTCCATTCAGAAAATAGTCGCGAAGTGGCGTTGCCGCAATTTAACATAGCTAGGTACTGCCTACCGCGTAGGTCCCAGTCTTTGATGCACTGAAGGTTCGAACATCCGGGCCGCGATGAGACGGAGATTCTTTTATCATAGCTATGCATTTAACCCAACCCTGGGCCAGCCCTAAGTTCGGTGGCCAATCACACGCGCTCTCCGAGCAACCCCACCATTCCAGTTTTTCCGACCCGGCATCGCTAACGCCTCAGCCCACACAACAATTTCCACGGCCACCAAAATTTGAAAATCTACCATAGTCTCGATCTCGAATCCACCAACAACAGAAGCACAATTGTCCATCGTCGAGACAGGTGCTCCTCAAGATGGCTGTTGGAAAGTAGGTCGCTCATTTCTGTCATTGGACTTGGACCATTGGAATCCTTCCAAACGAACCAGAATTTCCCGACGCGCCATGCCCTTGCGGCCGACACTCGCTAACCCGAAATTTCCTTCAGGAACAAGAGACTGTCTAAGGGCAAGAAGGGCCTCAAGAAGAAGACCCAGGACCCCTTCGCCCGCAAGGACTGGTACGGCATCAAGGTACGTTTTCACATCCATTCTACTCGATCCCCGCGCGCAATGCAGTTGACTGACCTGGTTTGATTCTCAGGCCCCCGCTCCTTTCAACATCCGAGAGTAAGATTACGATTCACAATCAGCTGAAGACATGGCTATGGAGGTTCTAACCGATATCTTATAGCGTCGGCAAGACTCTGGTCAACCGAACGACCGGTCTGAAGAACGCGAACGATGCTCTGAAGGGACGCATCATCGAGGTGTCCCTCGCAGACCTGCAGAGGGATGAGGACCATGCTTTCCGAAAGATCAAGCTCCGAGTCGACGAGGTTCAGGGCAAGAACTGCCTGACCAACTTCCACGGCCTGGATTTCACCTCGGACAAGCTGCGATCGCTCGTGCGGAAGTGGCAGACCCTCATCGAGGCCAACGTTACTGTGAAGACGACCGACGATTACCTCCTCAGACTCTTCGCCATTGCGTTCACCAAGAGACGGCCCAACCAGATCAAGAAGACCACCTACGCTGCGTCATCCCAGATCCGTGCCATCCGGAGGAAGATGACCGAGATCATCCAGCGGGAAGCCTCCAGCTGCACCCTGACCCAGCTTACCTCCAAGCTGATCCCCGAGGTCATTGGGCGTGAGATTGAGAAGGCTACTCAGGGCATCTACCCTCTCCAGAACGTGAGTCTATCAGGGGATATTAAATAACGTGTTTGAGTATTTCACGAGAGGGGCCGTGGCTAATCATTATATCAGGTCCACATCCGCAAGGTCAAGCTGCTCAAGCAGCCCAAGTTCGATCTCGGCGCGCTGATGGCTCTTCACGGCGAGTCGACCACCGACGAGCAGGGTCAGAAGATTGAACGCGAGTTCAAGGAGCGTGTTCTTGAGGAGGTATGAGCGGTATTGGTAGGGATGGCATGGGCGCGGTTTTCATCAAGCAGTACCTCTCTACGGGCATCGGTCTTGCTTTCTCGTTGCATTTGGCGTGGTATCATGGTCCAGTAGTCAAAGGATAACGAGGCTTCGTCCCAAGACGGAGAACACAAAATGGGAAAGAATTGCAAAAATCAAGCCTATGCCAAACCATACCTCACATGCTCTTGGAGACATCCATTCTGCGGCTGGTTTGGGCTCCAGAACCCATCGTGAATTACTCTAGGGGGCACACCAGAGACGGTGTTCTCCACGTTTAACCGAGGCTTTGAAGGCTGACCCGATTCTCTGATTCAGAGCTCCGTACAAGGGAAAGATGATTGATTAGGTATATGCCGACACGGCAATCTTCTTTTTATTTATTTGTCAAAAGCCTGTGCTCCTAAATGGAGGCTACCTACCTAGGTACGGCAGGGCTGGTCATTTGTCCTGCATAACGTCATTGTAGCTTCTGTACCTGTGAGCTTGGCAGGCAATTACCTCCATAAATACCTAACAAGCGGAACTGAAAAAAGCACACTCGGCCTTCAGAACAACCTATATCAGAGCGAAAACAAGCCTGCTTTGTTCAGAGTAACAAGCCTCTTCTGTTATCGACCTGAATAATTCTATCAGAGTCCGCGCTCGCGAAGTACTTCGCTCAGTGTCCCCAGCCGATGGCTTCAGACGAGTCGCTACCCACGCTCAAGATATTACTGATAGGCCCATCGGGGGCCGGGAAGTCGGCTTGTAAGTCGAGCTATTTTCACCCACTCTGATGAACCCCCGCGGAACCTCGCCTGGTTAACGGGACGGTGTACCGCGTAGTGCTCACGAGGTATTGCGATGACGAGTTCGATCCGGACTCGTCCGCCGCGACCATCGGCATCGATTTCAAGGTAGGTGCCGCCCTTTCCCGTCCGTTTGCCCATTTAGGCCGACCCGGCCGGGGAGGGGATGTATGATCTGGGAGGGTTCCATGCCGTTAAGGCCGCTCACTTTTCATGATAGACAAAGAGGGTGGCTGTCCGTGGGACGCCGTACCGCCTGAACTTGTTCGATACGGTGAGTCGCCCGTGGGAAGGGATGAGACAGGGCGAGAAAATAAGACACACACACACGCACACATGCACACATGCACACGCAGAATATGACACCGAAACGATGAAGATCCGGGTTAGGAACCACTCGCTGACCGTCGTCCCCCTACCTCCTGGGGGAGCTCTCACAGGCCGGACAGGAGCGCTTCCGCACGCTGTCTACGAGCTTCTACCGAGGGGCGCACGGAGTCATCCTGGTCTACGACATCTCCAGCAGGGCGAGCTTCCTCTCGATGGAGAAGTGGTTCGACGAGGCCGAGGCGAACACCGTCCCGGGCGTCGCGCTCTATCTAGTGCGTTCCCTTTACCCATCCTTCCCTTCCCTACCTCCGGGCCCCCGGGGGGGGGGGGGGCGCGGGGGGGGGGCGGCGGGGGGGGGGGGCGGGGGGCGGGGGGGGGGGGGGGGGGGGGGGGGGGCGCGGGGGGC